ATCATTTAATTTATATGAATGTTTAATGGAATAATATACAGCCTATGTCCACCCTGAAGTTCCATTCTAAATATTGGTGAAAGAATTTTTGAAATCGAATGAGTAGTTTCGGAGATTACTTGCTGCAAACAAACTTACATACAAACATTACCTCTTTATAATATTAGTATAGATTGGGGAGACATAAATAACAACAGACATGCCACGGAAGTATCTAAAAAAGTAATTGAGCATAATTTTGTATCAGCCTGGAATGGTACCACCCTATTTATGCAATGTATGGACTGCAAGATCTGGGTAGCTTTGATCATCGAGAAACAAGGGCCTGCAATAAAACCACATTGGAGCTCTTAAGGCTATGGGACACGCTGTATAAATCCTTAATGAGGTAATATATAAAGTAGACTGCTACTTCTACAATTTAATCTTTTTCATATGGTAAAGTAGCACTAATATAGATTCTATGTAGTTGGCTATCTCACAGCATTCAATTTGTCATTATATTTGAATTTAAATATCATAATTATGTTTCATCTAGAATTAGCCAATGTTAAAATTTAAAAATTCTATAACAACATTTAAACAATGTTCTTTTTGCCATTCTTTTTGATATATTTGAAAAGGTCAAAAGTACTTTGTGAAAACATTTTTTTTGTTTGCATTATTAAACACAGATAATGTTCTCAATGTTAATTTATCTCATAGTTATCCAGTTATCTGATGTAGTTATACTGTTTATTTTATTTGATAAAATATGATTTTATACTGTTAAATTTTATCAGTATTGTACTTTAAGTTGCACCTTTTGTCACTTGTACCACTTTATGCTGAACACCTGAATTATAAAATGTCTTAAAATATTTCCTTTCCTGCTAGTTATTTTTCTGTGTCAGTTTTCCAAATTTCTGGTGTTTGTTGTTTGTTAAATACCTTTAATTGCTTAATAAAATAAAAAATAATTGACAGAATTAAAAGACTAATGTGTAGTAGTACAGTTACTGTTAACAGGCTTTTACCTATCAATAACTTTATTAAATTCAGATAATTAAACTATTTATCAGAAAAGCTAAGTAGCCCAATTTTCAATTTTTTACATAATCTGCACCCTAAGCACATTTAGCTGTTGACCATGTTACCAATGACTGAAAGATTAGTAATGCATGTTTGTTAAAGCAATTATTCATAAATTGGAAAGTGCCTGTACTTATGGCTTTGAAAAATATTGTGAATCAACTTTGTCTAACATTATTTGGGAAATTTTTCTGAGTCAGAATTTCCCAAAATTAAGAATTCCTAGGAAAATTTGCAAGTAAACATAAGCCCTAATACATCCAATACATTATTTTTCTAGAAAATACAATTCAGCATGAGAAGAACACTACATCTCAGATTTTACTACACATATTTTAAAACAAATTAAACATATTTATATCCTTCATCACAACCACATGCATAAATTTTAAAGAGGAGATTCTTTTGTCGATGGCCTGGCAAGAATTGGTTCACAGCACACTCTAGCCGCTTGTTGTATTTGGGCAGGCCAACCTGTCACACATGCACAACGTAAATTTTTTGTAAATCGTTTATAACTCAAGATCAAACTCTTAGTTAAACGGCATTCATTAATCAAATTCCCATCTAAAAACTGTTAGAACCTGGTGCAGAGCCCAGAAGGGGTTTGAAAACATTTATTTTTTTGATGTTACCACACTGTAAATTGGTCCCATGTGCTAATTATTTTTTGTTCAAAAATTTTGTGACAATTCATTAATTCCCACTGGTGGCATTATTATTATTTTTTTTTCAGGAGAAAAATATTTCATGATGATTTTAGCCTAAGTGTATATATATATATACATATACATACATACATACTTAGGTTAAAATCATTATGACATAAATATCTCATGCCCACATAAATATATATATATAAAATATATAT